AATTTATTATTGAAAGTTATTCAATTATTCAGTGAGAATAAGCAGTGTGATTAAGAAAAGATTGAACTCTAAATTCTCTCACAAGAGTCTCTTTATCATAATGAGATCAGAGATTGCAGCAGCTCACAGTAAGTTAATCTTCTATAAGATGTATAATATCAGAGACAGTTTATCTGACTTCTTAAAGAAAAAACACAGAGTCTGAGCTTTCATTCAAGCTTCTTCTTCTGATAGCTGAAACTCGCGTTTTAACTCATTAACAGTGATAGAGAGAGAGATGTTCATATTCTTTCTCATTTCAATAGACACACTGTTATGTCATTTCAATGCCTGACTCTTCAGACATAGAGAGAATATGCAGAGAATCACGTCATCTCTCTTCTATATAATGATAAATTTCAAGTAACTGATAAACATCATTATATTTATTTTCACTGAATTAAATAGCATGATATCATTAGTCTGTAATCTTGCTGATCTATTATCACTTCATGTGAATGAACAGAGTTCACTATCAAGTGAAAGATAAAGATTATTATGAATAAGTGTCTGATCTCTGTGCATTCAGTTTCTCTCTGAGTTATAAGTAAAATATACAGTGTTGACTTCTCTGAGAAAATTAATCCTATCTTTTATTAGATTATGATGATGTGTTCTGTCTTCAGCACTGCACAGTCTCTGTGAAATTGTCAGTATTCATCAGATTCTAGAAGATAATTTAAAGTCTTTCTTAAAGAAGGTATCTAATTACTGTGCAGACTTATTGAGAAAATTGTCAGCTCTGATATCTGTTCTATTGATCTGAGCTGAATAATCTGTCTGCTGACAACAGTTCAGCTTCTGTCTTTGAGCAGTGAGTGTGACATTCTCAGTGTGAAAGCTATTTCATACTTCTGTTAATCTACTTCTTTCATCTGTCAATTATTTGAGATTCTCTTGAAGTTTGCTGACATATTCATTAATGAAAGTAGTATACTTATTCAACTGCTTCTTTCACTGATCAAGCTGATATTCATATTCATTGAGCTCACTCTCTTATTGAGTCAGTCAGACTTCTAGCTATTCTAACTTCTTAATTATATCTAGTATTACTGCTTCATCAGAAGAAGTGTGATTCTAACAGTCAAATTCATAGAAGCTTGAGACTATTAAATCTCTCTTATTAGTATTCTTTGTGATGTCTGTGTGAAAGACCTGTAATCAGAGATCAATGATGTTCTTTCATTTTACTATTAGAGCAGAGTTAAGAGCTGTTTTTATATTATTATAATACCTGACTGATACATAAGAATACCTTCTGCTTTGATATGATTGTATGATATCACTTGACTTTTGACACTCTCATACTGTCTGTCTATGTTTCATCAGACTTCTGAAATTATAATAGCATGCTTTTCAGTTATTGCTTGTAAGTAAGTTCATCTCAAGTCAGGTTCATTAGTGAATTCTCAGATGAGTTATTCAATTCTGCTAACAGACTTATCTGATTCAGTGAAAGAAAGTGACTGATAAGAGCTGCTCTAAGTGATTCATTCATTCTGCTTCATTATTGTGACAGAGCTGATGAAGTTGTATAAGAGTGTGAAGATGAGTTTATTATAACTGTAGTCATAATCTAGACTGATTACTAGTACTATAGCATTTTGAAGTAGAAGATACTCAAATAATCATTAGCTAGACCTAGTATCAGCTGTAGTATTGAATGAAGTAGATTTAAACAACTACAGATCAGATCAATTACTAGCTGCAGTACTGAAGAAGATAGAACAGTTAAATAATTACAAGCTAGATTAATCACTAGCTGCAGTATTGAAAGAAGATAGAGTAACTAATTAGACTGATTACTGACTAGTCAATTCTCAGTGTTCACAGCCTAATTCAATTATCAGTGCTATGTATATTAAGAGCAGAGTGAAAGCTAAAGAGGCTAGAAGAACTTGATTCTTAATAAGACATGCTATTAAATTGTAGTGTACACTGCTATGTAGAGTCAGATATAAGAATAAAAACTTGTCTAACTCTCTAAAAGATAGAAAATGAGTGTATACTCTTATATATACAGTGATTGTTTTATAGAGATTAACTCTTGTAGAAGAAGTGATCATCTATGAAGAGAAAAACAGAGACTCTGTAGAGAAGAAGCAGACACTCTTATAGAAGAAGTAATTGCATATAAAGAAAAGAATGAAGGCTCTGTAGAGAAGAAGTGAAAGCTCTTATAGAAGAAGCAATCACATATGAAGAAAAGAGCAGAGAGAGAAGATAGAAGTGAAAGCTTCAGAAAACAGCAAGAGATGAAGTGAAAGCTAGAGTTGAATAGAGAATTGACTTGAATAGAAGGCGGAAGCACGCCACAATCATTGAGCATATTGAAGCTGCTGTGAACTGTATATTAAGACAGTATTAATATTATACAGATTCAGAGACTGCATCTTTTACAGTAAGTAAGATATAAATATATTAATTCATTAAACATCTATCAGATTACAAATAAATCAAGCAAAAATTCATGAATTCAAAATAAGTGTCTTATAAGAATATAAGCTTCATTATTAACTGATTTAATTGATATAAAGCTGTCTTCAATTAATATCAATTTTTTCACTGTGATATCTACAACTTTGATGAGATTGAATTTCAAGAAGAAGAAGAATATAGATAGTAAGTTATAACTATCTTTAGAGATATGAATTTTATTATACAGTTATTATACTTCTGTGAGTTAATAACAGTGATGAAGTATATCAGTGCAGATGATATAGTATTAAATTCATTAATTATAATAAAATTAAAGATTCATTTAGAGAATTGATATACATACTTTAACTTATCTGATAATTATATTATCACTGCATCTGAGTCTAATCTTATAAATAATAAGATTGAATTTGAATGAATCAAGCAGTTCAATAAGATAATAAAAAAGTGTTAAATAAGTAGTTATTAACTGCTATTAATGAATAATCATGATTCTTATCTTATAGAAGAATTTATTCAATACTGTAATCTTTATAAGATTATTCAGTTTAGATTCTTATCTTATATAAGTTATATTTTACAATCTCTTAATGATATATCTTTTCAGCAGTATAAGTATTATTATATAAAGACAGTTAATAAGACTGTCTGTATAGCGTACGCCGCTACGTAGAGTCAGATATAAGGGTAAAAACTTGTCTGATTCTCTAAAAGATAGAAGATGAATATACACTCTTATATATACAGTGATTGTTTTATAGAGATTAACTCTTGTAGAAGAAGTGATCATCTATGAAGAAAAGAACAGAGACTCTGTAGAGAAGAAATGAACACTCTCATAGAAGAAGTGATTACATATGAAGAAAAGAATGAAGACTCTGTAGAGAAGAAGTAAAAGCTCTCATAGAAGAAGTGATCATATATAAAAAAAAGAACAGAGAAAGAAGATAGAAGTAAAAGCTTCAGAAAATAGCAAGGGATAAAGTGAAAGCTAGAGTTGAATAGAAGATTGACTTGAATAGAGAGCGAAAGCACATCACAGTCTGCTATGAATATAAGCAGTATAATGATAGATAATTTCTTATTAATCTGAAGAGTATTTAACGGTAAGTATTTAAATCTAATACTGTGAGAGCTGGTTTTACTAACTGTAGAATGTATTCAGTTAATTACAATATAATTCTCAATTGATTAAGATCTCTTATCATTGATAATGCTCTGAATCTCAACATATATAATAATGATAATAATATATACAATCACTTTATTCTGTCATCTGCAGATTGACTGTTAACTGTCTTCTTATAATTAATCTTCTCAGAGACAGTTATAAAACTACATTATTAAATTAATACAGCAGTCAAGATTTTAAAAGATATGAAGAATACTCTTATATCTGATTTGATAAGACAGTTGAACAAGATCTTCAAGAATAGCATGATTCAGATGAAATTGAATATACACTATGAGAATGAACTTGCAGATTATTATTAAGTAAATAGACATCAGATCTTAAAATTCTCTCACAGACAGGTGTAAATAGATGAAGTTCTCACTATTAAGAATATCAATCACAAGATTATAATCTGTAGAGTAGATGAGATGAAAAAGACATTCAATAAGACTCTTTGATTAATTGAAATCAAATCTATAAAATCTACAGCCACTCAATCATAATAAGATAATTCTATAGAATCTTAACTTATAGTGAATTCTACATCTTCTAATGAGTATATAGATAATCTTTATATTATAGATAGATATGATGATGATTATTAATTAATTTTTGAAGATTACTATATTCAAAATATTTTCTTTACAGTGTGGTTTTCTGTACACTGTGGTGCACTCACTACAGAGAGTGAGTAAGCATGGCACGGTTAAGAAGTTCCTATAATAATAATGAATGAAAAGATCAATAACGTATGTTACAACTTTCTCGTTCATGCCATGTGACTGTAGCAGGCTCTACCTGAAGCGCCTCGTAGAGCTAATAAGCTGTGTAGCCTTCATCGCGGTCAACATGGGGAAACTCTATATTCAGAGAATCTCTATATCTGAGAGAGACTCTATACTCAGCAGAGGATTAGATCTGTGAGTGAAGCTCATGGCCTTAAAATCAAAATGAACTAAATCATATAAGGTAGATGGAACCATACATGACAATGAAGAAAGTATGTACATGCAAAAGAGTAAATGAAGGTGCTGAACAAAATTGGAGATTTATTTGACTTGGAAAGCAGAAACAAGAGGATAGAGAATATAAAGAAAAAGAAACTGAACTAAACATAGAAAACTAAATAAATAGCCGGAACCAAGAGCTGGTCATAAGAGGATATAACGGGCAAAGTAAAAGTAAAAGATAGGAGAAGAGGAATACATCAATCACGGCTCGGGAAATGCTCGCCAGGAGTATACCTGCAACATAGGAAACTCCATCCTTGGGGTACTTGATTTTGTCAACTGGCTCGCAAAAACACAGCCCACATGTCCCAGCGAAGCTGAAATAAAATTCGCTACATTCATGCAGTTTTCCTCCAGGTAGCCCGTACACCGATCAGGGAGCTGACAGTACCGGCAAGGCCGATAATGCCATCATCCAGGTTCACGTAGCCAAGCGTAGTGCTGGGGATGGTGAGGTCGCAGCAATCTGAGACGAGCTGGGTAACGACAGCGGTGCGTTCTCTGTACAATTCACGAATCCACCGTTAGCAAAAACGGGCCAAAATCCGTCCAGATGATACAGATATATATATATATAGGTGGGGCAACAAACTTTTGAATCTTTTTCCCTTCAACCACGCTCTCGCCATCTTTCTTATTAACAGCCTTCTCCCGCTCCTTCAAGATCCACAACGAATATGCCCCTGCAAGCGCGCTGCACACCAATCCGGCCATCCACGCGCGCAGCGCGCGCGCCTGCATCGCCTTCGCATTAGCCAACTTGCGCATCCCCGCAGCATCTAGGTACAACACCATGTCGAAGGAGAGGTAGATGGCATAGCCGAGCTGGCGGCCGATGCCGAGGTATTTGAGTACGGGGTCGGCCGGAGCTGTTGACGAGCGAGAGTCGAGGAGGGCGGCGGCGGCCTTGAAGTGCTCGACGTTCTTGCCGAAACGGAGCAGTTTGCGGGTGAGGGCGAATTGCTTCTTGATGGCTTCGAAGGGTGCAATGGAGGATTGCGGGTTGTTGGTGCGGTATAGGTACCATGCGTAGAAGCGGGAAAAGTACTGGAGGGTGCGCAGGATTTTGTCGCGGCCGACTGTATGCAGTGTTTGGGAGGGTGAGGTTAGTGATGTTGTTATTCTGTTTCATGAGGAGTTTTGCATATATAGATGAGTGGCTCGATAGAGGGTTATCTATCTAGCCTGAGGAAGAGGATGGGGAAAGTGTCCGGATTAAACGAGCTCCCCTGCTCCCTCTCTGTGTATGGGTCATGACAAGTTGCCCCAATTGATAAGGGGATAATAACAAATGGCAAAAGTGACAGTGCTCTCAACGAATCTATCGAAACCCAATCATACCCGTAGTAGCAACGAATCTGAGATAATGGGCCACCGTCGGGTGGTGAGCCAGGGCCGTGACAACCATGCTGGGCTGGGCCAGTGTCAGACTGAGGCGCGAGAATCGGAGAGATATAATGCTGCGATCGGCCAATAAAAGTTACCTCTCCGCACTGATTGAATGCTGCACAAGAATAGGAGGTAGGAAAGGAGATGAAATCAAGAAGACGACTGGCGACGCTGATAATGATGTTTGGATGTCGTTGGCGCTTTTCTCCACCAATTTTCGCGACGGGAAGCCGAGAATGGAGCAGGCACACGTGACAGTTACCTCGGCATGGAAAGGTGGGCGGCTGATGTCAGCAGGCTCGGGTGCGGTCTTTTGCCGAGTTCATTTGGTGTGCCGCGGGCGTGTGGGGAAATGACGTCACGTAGCCTGGCCAGGAACAGAAAAGATTTTGATAAGGTACATATATATATATATATGAACGCTTCCAAGATTAATACGAAAAATATGAAAATACTAGAAAAGGGATCAAACACCAACAATGAGATGGGGTATGGTTGTATATACAGCGCGAATATATTCTATGTGTCTGGTTTTATGTTCAACGAATGCAATGGTAGAACCAAGTCATCTCATCCAGCAAAGAATTTGGCTAAAAAAAATAGTATGAAAGAAGAAATAAAATCTGAAAAAAAATCCGACGAGCTAGGAAGGATATATAAGAAATAATGGAATAACGTAGATAAATCCAAACACGAAAAGTTCTATCCCGTCAGCATCACGTACGTATCACTAAAAGATCTAAGGGTCCGCCGTCTACTAAGCAAGAGGAAGCAAGATTGAGGAATTTCTATACGGTGGAGACAACGATCAGAAACAAAATTGAAAGAAATGGAATAAGGACAAAAAAGATTCGTGAAAATCAGTTGCGCATGAAAAAGCAAGCGATAACGGAAACAGAAGGGGGCAATATATAGATATTTGCAGAAACTCCTGGGAATCAACACTATAACACCAGGCGTCATCAACGTCGTGAGCTCGGTATCGGTAATGCAAAAGTTAAAATGAAAAGGCAAAAGGTCAAACCCGGGGGTATGAAATTGGGGCTGTGCACATATATGAATAGATATCAAGAACGCAAACCAACGGATCTAAAAAATCTGAAACAGGAGGTGAACAATGAAAAAAATCCACATCAGAACCACTGGCCTTGTTGCTGTAGAGGGATATCGCCATGGTTTGCAGAGGTAGTCATCGAATATGTTGCCGGGTCCCACGGAAAATCGCTAGATCCCGCAGACAAAAACGCTCCGCCCTGTGAGACGAGCAGGCCATCACTACCCACAGTTGTCGTGAAGGACTGGTTATCTGCAGGAGAGTACCCCTGTGAGGCCGGGTAAGGATCTAGTCCCGTCCTTGCCGAAGAAGCGACTATGTCAAAGGGTTGCGGTGGCTGGCTGAGCGCAGCGCCAGCCTTGAGGAAGGCATCGATATCGACTGATTGTAGGTCGTTTGGCGAGAGCACTTGAGACTGTGAGAAGTCCACATACGACGACGAGCCGAGGCGGTACACACCATTCTCCGATCTATCACTGACGCTGTGGACGTCAAGGTTGTCAGGATTGGACATCCCTGCACCGGCAGCGAAACCGAAATCTTCGACTTCTGAGATCTCTCCGGAAGAGGAATGCGCGAGATTAGAGTGGCTGAAATTATTGTTGTCAAAGCTTGTGTACGAGGGCGGTTGGCTAAATGCAGTGTGAAGCTCGTTGGGGTTGTAGGACAGCCCAAACGTAGACCAGTCCACTGGGGGGACGTTGAAATTGGGTGTCTCGGGAAATGCTTCCGACTCAGGAGAATAGAATTGATCGAAACGCTGATTTTGAAAGTCAAATAAACCAGAGGCTGGGTTTGTCGGATCAAACGGAGCAAGGGAAATATCGAGATGGGGGATGTCGTTATTCATATCGTCGATACCAAACAAAGGCTCATGAGTAGGGGATCCGTGCTCCGACCTCACGCGACGGACTGGGTGAACACCCTCTGTAATCGAATCCGTGGCTGGTGTCCCATTTTGTTCAACGCTTGCTTCGGGCAAGAGAAGATGGTCTACCGAACGCCGCGCCAGACCTGATGAAACATGAACAGTGTTGGACCTAGGAATTGAGTAAGGGACCCCTCGTTTAGATGTGCCATTTACTTTATGCTTATTGTGGCGGGTCGGGAATCCTGGAAGCGCATCGTCCGTTTTTGTAGTTGCGATATGAGGGCGTCTCTGGCTCAGATGGGAAGCTGCTCCGTTACGAGGAGTGCCCAGCTCGGGAACAGTTTCAAGACTGGAGTCTCGTTTGGCAGCACATATGCAGCGAGTGCCATGGCCGCAGCAACACGGTTTTCGAATTCCAGCTGATTGGCAAGTTAGTTAAGAGAATAAAATGAGGAGGTCATTCGTATGTTGGCTCACCTTGAGTGTCACCCGGCTCCTTGACAGGACATTCAGCTTTTGTATGGCCTTTCTCACCACATTCGCACTTGGTGTGAGTGGTGCGAGACTTCCGCAAACTTCGACAGTGAGGGCACTGCGAAACAGGGCGACCTTTCTTATTGATGTGGCTCAAGGGTCGATCTATTGGCGTTAGTTAATAACTGTTGATTGGGGCGTTCTGTGCTTGAAAGGGAAATTGTTACGGGGTCTAGGGAGAGTACAAAACTGGCTTCGCACATACCTGCATGCTGGCAATTGCTCACACGATGCCCGCGGATACAGGCATCGCAAGCCCACTTCTCGCCGTTGATCAACATGATTACGGTAGATGTGTATTCCGTCTTTAAGAGTGGAGGTAGCAGTGAATAGGAAGTTCCGTTTCCGTCCGCTTTATATATGGGGTGTGTTGAGTGTGGGCCACGCCTGGAGTAAAGCTGAACTGGGGGCGTCCAGAGAAGCTGAGGCACGCCGAACAACCAAGGGGACGATACGCTCAAAACGCTATAAATCGAACAACGGCTTCGAAGGATCGCAACTCATGATGGCGCACGCCGACAGAATATCTATTGGTTGGGCTGGAGAGTAGTCCGAATGAACGTAGGTTCTCTGGGTTTGTCCTGTTCAACCGAGATAGGTATAATTAGAGGAACATGAGTCGAAAAGAAGCGGAGTACGGCAATTGCAACAAAAGAGAGTAGATGGGATAACAGTCGAGCAGAGATGTCAAACGGGATCAGGCAAAATTAATCAAAGGTGGAAAAATCGAGAAAACCCAAAGAGGAAATCGAGGATAAAAATCGAGGTGGGAGAAGAGCTCGAGGTGAGGTTGAAGCGGGCTGAAGAGGGGAGATTTGAGGTTGTGAGGCGGCGGGAGGCGGTGCGGTGTGGGCGCACCAGGGAAATTTTAACTTCCACGGCCCGGTTTGCGCGAGTGGCGTTTGGGAGCTGAGCAAACCAGGGAACACGGGACGTGTGTACAGGCAGTTGCAAACTTAGGCCCAGAGCTATACACACGCACTCTGTTTTCTGGCCCTGGAAGAGTCGCTTGACAACCATTCCCGGCGCCAAAAACAAGTGCGGAAACGTACTGTACGGAGTAGTTATACGTTTACGAAGTGTAAAAGCAAGAAGGAGATGAGGGAAAGAAACCAATTCAACTCACCGACAAATAACTCTGGAAATAGGAATCCTGCTCGTCCGCTCTCAAGCCTACTTTTATATTGCTCCAAACCTCTTTTCCCTGGGGGTGATCGCAGTGTTATATAGTTATTTATATTTCCGTTGTTATGATAGTTGGTTGAGGCCAAGGAAGATGCAATCCGCCCTCGTGGGTTAGGGAGCCCAAGTATTGTATATGTGTAATGTACTTCTCTCCGTATCTGCTAGTAATGCGGACTAGTATTGTCATCTCTCATGCAACGTCCGGAACTCTATTATTTCGTCTCGTGCTCTAGTTAGCTGTTTCTTGTCTTTCATCTACTGTGTAATGTCTGTCTGCCTTTTGCCTATTCATCAACCGGGCTTGACTTATTTTCGCTCTGTACTTCGTATACACTTTCGATTCTTTTTTCTTTTCTTCTCTTTTCACTTTCTGTTCTGTTTTTCTTCTCCTCGGCACTCGCATAAATGGCTCAAACAGCAAGATCACACTTTAGTGTGCCCGTAGCGTAGCAAACTCATGGGGCATCGATTTTCTTCCTCCTTTGCTTTCAAACTGACGTCCTGACGGGCCATCGAACCGGCCCGTTTGGTTACAGATATTCTTTGAGCTTGTTGGCAATCATGACAGCATCCCGGTGGACACCATCCCCCGACTGAATATCGATTCTGCGCCAAAGGAACCCGGGATTTTAAACTCTAGCGAATTGGACCCCAACCACCAGATCGGCCATACAATCACGCAACTTATACATCTAAGAATCCAGAGCACCTTGTGATTAGTATGCATACCTTTTCAAACTTGTACCAGCTAGTAAACCATCCCGCGCTAGACCCAAAGCAGCCCGTTCCACACACACCCTGCGGATCATTTCCTCGTACGGTTCCTTCCAGAAGACTTCCATGCGTCTTCCGTTTTCGGCCAGAGCCGCATCCTTGGAAATCGCGAAGGAATACTCCTGGAGGCTGAAGCCACGGGAACAGAAAACAAACCAATGATGAATGAGGTCCTCAAGCCTGCCAGCTCAGAGCATTCTGATGGCTATATTTATTTCTCCCAAAAATTTCCAAGAATACTTCCCGCTTTCCCAGCCCCACCCTATTCTTTATTCTGTGGTGGAGATTATGCTCACACCGGGCTGAAAATACCACAGATACAAGTAATTGCGATATCTATCTTCCATCTAGAAACGGATATACTTTTCTGGCTGCTCTGCGAGCACTCTAAAAGTAGAGCGCTCATATGAATCTGGAATTCATGTTAATGGGCGTCGAATTGTGGTCTCACTCTGCATATCAGCCTTATTCCTCTCCCCTGGAAAGCAGATCTCGTATATTTGTTGATTCTTGACGCTTGTCTTTTGGTCTACAGGGCTAGATGTGACCATCACCCTATTGAGACTTCAGCTATCATTGCCTCACTTTACTTTCTTGATCCACCTCACCTGCTTTCTCCCACTTGGGATATTGACTTATCTCTCCCTGTTCGATTTCCTGTTTCTACCCCGCTTGGTTGACCCGGGATGTTGCGTTCGCCAGGAGGAACAAAAAAGGCAAAGGGCAGATAACAGACAAAATAGAATTTGTCCACTTTTATTGTCGCTGATAAACTCGCCGAAATAGTTTAGCCATTAATAGCTGAAGACACTCTCGCGCTCACTGATTGGGCCGCTCCCATCCTTCTGGAACCCTTCTAGCCTCGCTTTTTAGTTTCGGAAAATGCACAAACCATACCTGCTTGTGTAAGGTTTTGTGGCTCTAAGACAGGGGCCTTTATTTTTATTTTGTATTTTTTTTTTTAGAATCCTTCTTGATTTCAATTGGTTCTTTGATTCTTGTGTTTAGTCGGTATTTCTGGTATCTTGCCTTGGCAGAGGTGTCTATCTGCTGCCCTTGTTTTGTGATACCAACTTGACATTTTGGAGGGTTTTTATGAGGGTGGAGGTGGAGGGGAGGGAGTGAAAGTTGATCCACAATCGCGATATCCTAGGCTTTGAATAATATAGGTGGGTTGGGAGGTGAACGGATGCTTCTCTGCTGGAGCCACTCCTCTCCCACCCTGCTCCACCCCTCCGTTGACAGACTGATTTTACTATTCCACAGGGATAAACAGTCGATACTTCCCACTTCTAAAATACAGCTTAGACATGCCCTCTTTCTCGTGAACACTGAATTACAGTGTACTTACATCGTACATTCCCTGCAGTACTGTACTGTGATCCCCTATATGGCCCCCAAACGAGCATTTGTGGGGAATTATGCTGGTTGAAATGGGGCGATCCATGATATGATCACGCTCCGCTCAACACACTTGGATGGCCTCCGGTGTTGGGCAGTCAGTCACCTATCTCCAAAGCATAGACAGGCTAGATAAGATCAGGATCATGAACGGAACGGAAATGGAGTCACATCATACTCTCGTCAAACTCAATTCCTTTCAATCTATGCTCTTTTTACTTTATCCATGCTGGCTCTCCCATTATTATTACAGATGTGTGACCAGAATAGTTATCCAAACAGTACCCATCAACCATAGGGATCGACTACCAACAACCCCAAGTCGCCGATCTCTAGATAGCCAGCAATGGACTCATGGATGTACGTAGTAGGTTTTGCTGGCATAACCTACAGCCAAGCCTGCGTTTTCCCATTTCAAATTCTATGTATGGATATGTGGAGAAGGATCACTAGGGGAAGGAACCCAATACATGGGTAACTACCCACTACCATCGGCCTCTTTTGCTAAATTTTGTTAGTCTTTCTCTCCGTCATCGCCATCTTCGAATCGCTCCTTGCGGCCAAGTACTTTTCATGGGGGGCTATTTGACTTTGTCGATTGCTTCAGGAAAGTGATATCTTGGCTTGGATGGGAATATCTAGATGTCTACTTACTAGATATTGGGAGAACTCCGAGTTTCTATATAATTACTACTGTTAGCGTTTCTCACTAGGTATAATGTTATTGGTTGGAAGCATATCATCATTATTGAGATCTTTATGGTATCTGAGATTCTTCATATGTCGCCTCATCTCTTCTCGATACTTTCTCTAAGCAAGGATCCTCTGTTTTGGCTCCAACTAAGCTACCAACTCCATTTCCACAAAGTCGAGTTCCGGATGCGGACACGGACCCCATTCAATCAAACTTATATTTATTATATGTCCACTAGAGAGACTATAAGTAATTGCGTGTTCACAGACGAAGTTATGTTGCTAGAACCTTAAAAAAATAAATAATAAAAACACACCTGTAGAACTGCCACCTTCTTCCGACGATTCAAGATACCTTTCCAAACCAATATGACAAACCCCCAGCAGGAAAGAGAAACGAGAGTACTCTGCACAACAAGCTCTCCTGAATTTTGGTTCATAGCCCCATAACTCCTAGTGGTCGGTACAAACTGGGGAACTACTGTGATAGAACTGTTCGGTGCGCACCAGTTGAGTTGGAAAATAGAACACCAGCAAACCATTGATTGGCCACAAGCGCTCAATTGTCTGTCGGCCGCATTTAACCCCGTACTAAAACGCCTTGGAAACTCGACACCATCGCAGCCGCCGCGCGACTTGGGACGTCAGGGCACTTGTTAGCCTGTCAGGAAAAAGAGGTTATACACTACTGAACGCCACCAACATCGTATTACTACAATATTTCTCATCATCATCAGCTTACTACAATGCTTGTCTAATACTCGCTTAGGCTAGCTCTCTTGGCTCGCACATATATTTTACTATAAATAGCTCTATCTTTTGTATGAAATAGATATATTAGATAGTGTACAGATAATATAACAAGCAGATCTTGATACACATAAGATTCATATGTCTTCAACATATTCATCTGTGACACTCATTTCAACAGTTATGAGCCTGGTAAGCAGCATCTGAAGAGAAGCGCGATACACTGATCTCAATTCTCATTCAAATTTGACAACAATCATTTGAACTGAGATGATTGATTCTCATTTGTATACAGCACAATCTACTTGACTGTTATACCTGATTCATGATCTCAATTCTCATTCAAACTGATAACTATCATTAAACTGAGACAATAGATTCTCACTTGTATACATTTTCAATATACTCAACTGTTATACACTCTGAATTCTGATCATATCTATTCTCAAATACTTGAACTGATTCCTCAATTCATTCAATATAACTGATATGATAGATAAGACAATGTCTAGTGCAACTGTACATCTTAGCATTTCTGAAGATTGAAAACTTTGATACAAGCATATGCTAGAATATATAAAGAACAAGAAGATATTAGACTTTATCAATCTTGACAAATCTAATATCTTCTCTGAAATAGAAGAATCTCTGAAACCTGAGTATTCAGAAGAAGTCACTGCAGAGACTAAGATAGTATATAATATTAAGATCACTGTGTGAAAAATCAAATATATGAAATATAAGAAATTGAATGAAGATATGATAAAGATATAAGATATTATATAAAGAACAGTGAATGTCACAGAGCTATAACATATATGCAGTGAGAATGATAATGTAAAGAATATTATCTATTTATTAAGAGATTATCTCTCTTCTACAACTACAGACTATCAAGATAATGTGAGAATCTGATATCATGATCTCTGCAAAGCACTGAAAAACAGAGGTATAGAGAAGTCATTAAATGACTGATCACTTATTGAAGATAATATCAAAGAGATAGATATAGCTGAACAGTTCAACTTGAAGAAAGATTTCTTAAATACAAATCTAGCTATTAATGCAGGTTATAGACAAGTATGAGTTAAGAATGTTCAATATAATAAAGATGTCATATCTTTGATAGAGTTAGTTATAGACTGGCCGCCGGGATCATGAATTTCATGTTTGATCTCATTTGATCTGGTCTCATACATTTCTTGGCGTGAATCCCGCTGGGACTGGCTATCAAAAAAATATGTAAAGTGACTATATATCAGATCTTAAAATGAAATCATGACTTGAAAAAAATAAGAAAGTGATCTCATTTAGTTTCATTTAATCTCATTCTTAGTATAAAGTTACTATTTTTAGACATTTTAAGGTTTTTTTAGACTATTTTTAATTTTTTAAAAAGTAATGCTTTTTGGTAACACTCAAATGAGATTTAAAGTCATTTAAAGCAATAAAAATAATTTAAATTGAGAAGTGGAAATCATGATCTCATTTGAAAAATGTGATAAGAGTAGACAGTAAGTCTCACTGAAATAGTATGAGTCTACTATCTAATGTTAAAACTGTGTAATGGGATTAGTCAAATTGATAATGAGACTATCAAAAAATCTGGTTCTGGTCTCAGACACGGTCACACGGTCAGTCTAGTTAGTTAAGAACTTCAAGAAACAGTATAGAGAAATAAGTATTCTCAAAGAAGATAAATCTATAAACTTCACTATTCTTAATAAAAGATCTCAGTAATTATTATCAGTGATATTCAGAAACTGCATCTGCAGAGCTCATTATTAATACACTCAGTACTACTATCTTAATTCATCAAGAAAGTCATCTGAATAAAAGAAAAATGAGAAGAAGAGAACTCAGATTAATCAAGCACTTAAAAATCAAGAACTGAAGAGATGTGTTGATTATGTGATATCTAGAGATTCATTTATAAATACAGATATAATAGATGTCAATGAAGTAGTTTTAGAAGAAATGATTCTGAAGTAATCAGTTTCTCAATCTATCAATCATCAATCTATTGATTATTAATCTATTAATCAGCAGATCTGGAAAATATTAATGAACTCTTTAAATTTATACTTCTATCTTCAAAACTCCTGAATCTTTAATACTGGTGTGAAACAGCATATATGTAATAATCAAACATGTTTTCTATTCTTTACACCTGCGAACAAGAATGCGGAAGTCTATACAGATGATTTCAGTACTAAAGTTGAAGATTATGAAACTGTTAGAACAATTATGATAAATGAAGCAGATAAGCAGTTCAATGTCAACCTCATCAATACAGCTTATATTCTGAATTTTCATACAAATATCATCACATGAAAACCGTGTTTTTATATAGAAGACATCTATTATAATGAAAAAGACTTCAGATTGTGAAAACACACAGATAATACAATCTTTGTATATATTGAAGTATTTGAGGAATTGCTAGTTACAGAATATAGTGAAACAGCTGTTTATTCAACTATCTTAGAAAAATTAACTACTGAAGCTGCAGCAGCTATTATATCACACACTTCTAACATCACTATATCTGAAAAAATGATATCTTTAAATTCTTCAACTTCAACAAATCATTCTTTCAACCTGTCAATATGCATAAAATCTTCTCAAAAACTTAAGATCTCTATAGCTACTCAGTCTACATGACATAAGAGATTAGAACATTCATTCAAAATCATCATTCAAAAGCTTGTAAATGATGCAACTGATGTTCAAATCATCAATCTAGAAGATGCTGCAGATAAGCTTATCACTGAGCTTTGTGAACTCTGCTATCTATCTAATGCAAAAAATCAAATATCTAGATATTCTTATATTAGATCTCAAATATCATTTAAACACCTACACACAGATATTACACATGGCTCTACACAGTGTTATAATAGTGAGTGTTATCTTATATATTTCATATGTGATTATCTCTGTTTTCATATAGCTATAACAGCTATTCAAAAATCAGAAATTTGAAAAGCTCTTAGACAAGCTATTAATTGAATTAAACATTAATTCAACTGTACTATAAAGATCATTCATATTAACAATGATACTGCAGTCAAGAAAGCAGATGACTTTACAAATTGAGTGAATAATGAAGATCTAGAGATGAAGTATTCTTCAGAGTATATTTATGAGTAAAATAATGCAGCAGAGTGAGCAGGAGTAATATTAATAACAAAGACAAGAACTCTATGAATAGAATCTCTTCTGTCATAATCACTTTTCTCTGAGATTACACTTGCTGCCATCTATCTAGTGAATTGAACATCTACTAGAATTCTAGATTGAAAGTCATCTCTACAAGTATTGAAAGAATTTCTACAAATCAAACCTTACTTCTGTGCTCATTTTCAAATCTACAGATATCACATCTATGCAAAGATACTGAATGAAGTTCTCAATAGAAACTGCTCTCAGAAGCTAGATCTCTGAGTATATATTAAATATCTAGTTGAATAAGATTCTACAAACATCTATTGAATTTGAATTTCACACTTAGAACAGGTGATAAGAGTAAGAGATGTGATATTTGATGAGAATAAGAAATTCAACTCTGAAGATCTCTACATTGAAAGACAACTTAGAGATTGAGTATCTAAGAAGGTGAAGCTTCTATATATGAAAGTTCAAGAATCATCAATGACTTCTATCAATCAATTGAAAAAGATTATAGATGCAGATATTGATGTTTTCCATCTCAAAGAAAATACTCAAAGCTCTGAAAAAATAGAGAAGGAGAATAATGAGTATAAATATCATGATGTTTTAATTCTTTCTAATGTTTCAATTCTTTCTACACCAGATTTAATACCAGAGCCAACAGGTCTCAATGTTGATATTAATACTCATTCAGCTGTGATAGATAATTGAACACAGAACATTGCATCTAGAGCTCATGATATCAGTACTGATTTTAATAAAGCTAATATCATTGAAGGCCGCAGAACATGAAAACACAGAACTGCTCATCTTGTAACAGTTGAAAATGTCAAAGACAATTCTTATTGAATGATCAATGATGTATTCTCTTATTCAAATTCACACAAAGACTTCAACAAGTCTCAAAATTTATTTCCTAATACTGTTTTTATAGTTATCAATAATACAGCTACATCAACAGCATTTATACTGACTTCAAGAATTTATAGATCTCAACTGTCAGATTCACTGAATCACTGAGCAGATGTTAAAAAGCACTCACATTGTGAAGAATTTGAGAACACTGTTAAGTAAGAATGAGATAGTATATCTCTGCAGAACACATATGAAATTACTAGCAGACTACAGAGAGACATCTCAGTTATTTCTCTATAATAAGTATTCATCTACAAATTCGATGATAAAGGTTTTCTTTTGAAATACAAAGCTCGTATCTGTGTACGCGGAGATCTTTAATCAATCACAGATCTTACTACAAAAGCTCTAGACTGGCCGCTGAGATCATGAATTTCACATTTGATCTCATTTGATCTGATCTCATACATTTCTTGGCGTGAATCCCGCTGGGACTGGCTATCAAAAAAACATGCAAAGTGACTATATATCAGATTTTAAAATGGGACCATGACTTGAAAAAAATGAGAAAGTGATCTTATTTGATCTCATTTAGTTTCATTCTTGACATAAAGTTACTATTTTTAGACATTTTAAGGTTTTTTTTAGAGTATTTTCAATTTTTTAAAAAGTAATGCTTTTTGATAACACTCAAATGAGATTTAAAGTCATTTAAAGTAATAAAAATAATTTAA